CTCATAGTTGTGTGAAGGTATTTCTGCCAAGGCAGTGTCTTTATGATAACCATGTTTTCTCTTTAAATTGCAGGGAGATGGCTGGGTTTACCATAAACCCCTCTGGAAAACAGTCTCTGCCGCACAAACTCAACAAACAGACAGTAACTAGAAAAAAGCTGCTTTAAGATGAGTTTTCTGGTTTTCCTCTCCTTTTCCTCTGTCTCTCAGAACACAGTAATCACACTGAGTGTCCCCTTTTTATGTAATTGTGCAAGTTTAAATGAGCATAAAGAAATAACTATACTAGGGCACTTTAAAGCTATTTAAGAAAAAAAAAAAAAGGTAAAAATCCAAGTTGTAGAGACAAACCTGCCAGGTACATTCAACCAACTTGTTTTTTTGTATGATCCAAGAGATTTTATCTGCATTGTGTAAGATTCTTCCAAGTAGATCTGATTGCAAAAGCTGCCTGAGAGAAGAAGGAGCCTGTTGGATTTTAGAGTGACATAGGAACTCTTTTGGAATCTGTGTCAAGCTCTTTAATCACTGAAACTTCCTCAGTACACATGTAGACAACAGCAACAGAAAATTGCTGCTTTTATGCCCAGTAATTAACCTTCTTGGCAAAAACTGGAAGGGTGTTTGGAAGATGTGCCTGAAATCAGTATTAAGAAACAACTGGATCATGACGACCTTTTCTTCGGAGAGAGCGCGTGCATGCATTGGAGGAATATGGGATGTATGTAGAGACTACTTTTCTTTTTTATGGATTTATAAAAGCAATTAGAAGTGTAACCATGGAGAAATTTTTCCTCTGAAACGTTTTAATATACTTGAAATAGTTGACTTGAATTGGAAAAGTAATTTGAACACTTTTCAACTCTAATTTTATTAAATCTCTTTGAGTGACTGGTTTTTCTCAAGTTATAATATAATGAGATCTGGCCTGTTTTTTCTCCTCCAACTTCTCTTCCTGAGGACTAAGGCTTTCAAAATGAACAGAAAACATACAGTTTTGTATTTAAATTTCTCTGCCCATCTAATAGTTTCAGAGATGAAGTATCAGTGTTACAAACTGTCCTTTGGGTTGTTTTGTTTTTTCTCCTGTGGTGTTGTTCAGAACAAAGCAGTGAAATGTGACCTTGAATACATGGACTGTAGGTCCTGGTTTTTCATCTTTCCATAAAAAAAACCCAAGCAAACATCTGATTATGCTGAGGACTGAGTATTGATTTGAAACGCAATCAGATATCAGGAAACTGTATTCAGGTACAAACATCCTTTTTTTTTTCTCCTTTTTATAACTATTTTACTGAAGTCTAAGAATTGCTGGCAATTAAGAATAGTACTTACTATGGCTTTCGTTATTGTTGTAACTACAAGCTACCTTAATTTTTCCAACAGTGGTGCCTTAATCTGTTTTTTCTTCTGATGTAGTCTTCCAATCAGTGTATATAACATTATCTGCCACTTCCCAGCCATGGCAATGGCTGCACCTGATCCAGCATCATAAAAACTCACAACTGTGTGATCTGGTAAGATGTTTTCCATAGAGAAGATGCAATTGTAAGAATGCATCAGAAGGTTTAAATAACCATGTTAACTTTCAACACAAACTGAAAATCATGCAAAAAAAAAAAAGAGTTGGGTTTATGCACAACTGTTTTGATCCTCTTGTACATTTTTTTTTTGCTGTGAAATGCACTGAGATCAAAATGCAAGTCATAGTCCGTTTGTGAGAAGTGGGGGGGGATAATAAAGCTACAAAATGATTCATTTGTTCTGTCTGCTTTCCTAGAGATCAGGTGACCAGGAAAGAGTAGGTGGTTGTTTTCTTTCATGCTGGAGATCTGTCTGGGCTTTCCTTGGTCCCAAAAGAGGGGTATTTTGGCACTATGTGCTTGAGTGGTAACTATTCTCCAGCAGAAGAATGTTTTAGGCCCTACTTGTCTTGTTTGTGATATTCTATACAACCATCTTGTTGTGATAGTTTTGGATATCCATTGGGCATTTTCATGCTTAACTGGGAATAAAAATAAAAGTTAAAATAGTAGGATTAGTTCCCCCTTGTTTCTGGGTCTGCGGCACATTTGGCTCCTTGGCCAATTCCAGGATTTGGGGTGGGAATTGTGGTGGCAATATGTGAAATTCTTCCATGGTTTGTCAGTACCTGCACCAAAATGGGGCTGTTAGAGAAACAGATTAGCTCTGTATACATTTCATAGTTGTTTTATCCATGTCACATGGCACATTTGCTTAAAATGAACAGCAAGGGCTGTGGTGCAAGGCCCAGCTTTTAATATTGCAGTGATCAGAGCAAAACCCAACCTTTTCCAGCTGAGCACACTCCAGGGATGAAACTTAAGCTAACTAAAATATAAACTTACAACTCAGTCACTAAACTCAGCTTAAAACTTTGATTTGGGATTTGTCAAGGTGATGGCTGTAAATGAGACTGAAAAGCTCCCGTGTTGACCATAAACCATTTGTGTTCCTTATATAATGCTATTAGTCAAGTTATTTCTCTTCCTTCCTCATCTGGTATGCTTGTGGTTTCTCACTAAGAGAGCTGTTACTAATTTTATTGTGTAAAAATAGACCTAATGCTGAAGAAATACTTTGATAAAATACATGAAGTGATTTCTTTTAACATGGGAATGTTTCTAGGAAAAAAAGAAGGTAAAGCCTTCCTTTACTCAAGTGATCATGAGAACTGGAATGATTCCTGATATGGATTTAGTTATGATGCAAATTTCTGCTTCCAGAAACAAAGGACATAGTTGAAAACCATTTAAAAAGAAAAAAATCTAGCCCCTGAATATCCAGCTTAAATTGTAATTGTGATTCTTCTGAAAATGGCAAACACCCTGTGGAGTAATGGATGTATTTTTAACTCTGGCCAGATTTGATTCTCTTGCATAACTGATGTTGTTTCCATCCTGTACCTTCTGGAGCAAAGGGAAGGGCTCAGTGCTGCTTCCTGTGTAGATGCTTGCTAGAAAGAACCACAGTGTGTTCCAACAGGGAACATGGCAAAGTGGGACACTGGCTTAGGTTACCGTCTGCCTTCTTGGCTTGATTGGGCCCCACTGAAGTTAAGAGCAGAATTTTCATTGATCTCATTGGTTTTAGGCCCCCTGAATCATAAAAAGATCTTGGATCTTAAATAAGTGCATGTCTATGCTGCTCATAGAAAACAGAGTGCACCAAATCAGCCCTGTTTAACACAGGCATTCAGGTGTGTAATCCTGATGGATTTGTGTTGTATGAAAAAAATTCACTATGCAAATTGGGTTGTTCAAGATTTTGGGCATGAGTAGGGGAAAAGATGAAGTTTTTCAGCATATTTATAGTATAAACTGTCAAGCCTGGGATGAAGTCTGTCTTCCCAGGAGAATTTGGATTTCAGCCACCAAAATCAGAGATGCAGCCTTCGATGTCTAGTTTGCACAGGCTGATCCCCCTCTGTCCCTGTCACCTGTGGGAACAACAGGTCAGAGTGTCTTTTAAATCCTTTTAAGCTTGAAAGAACGAGTGAATGCATTCATCAGTGTGTTCAAACAACTTGGTGCAGAACTTGGTATGGAAATTCTGCATAAAATACTATGGGAAGGCGAGACTGGGGGGGAGTGTGTTGGTGTGCTCCTGTAGTTTTTCATCTCCATGACAGAAAAGCTGCCCCTGCTCTGTTTCTCTTGTGCTAGAGCAGTGGTTAATATATTAAAGAAATGAGGCTGAAGTCAGGTGGGATGGAAAAGATGTATTTGTGGGTAACTGGGGAGGGTGTGCTTGAAGGGAAAAGGGTTAACTTGAAAAATTTTGAGGTGTCAGGAGGTAGCAGCCAGGTGAAGATTAGTGAAAATGACAGGTGTGGTCACAGTTGCAGATGGCATAAGTGGTAGCTAAGCAAATTTTTTTGTTATTTAGATTTGGTGCAACGTAATTCATTCCCCTTTTGTCCTTATTTGAAGCGTTTAGAGGCAATTTGTTTCTAGGTTTTTAATTTAGCAGCTGTAAAAACAGTCCAGGGAGATGGAAACAATAGCTGGAGAAGAAAAGGTTTTTATATGGGTTGATGCTGTCATAGCTGAGCACTTTAGAGAACCAAACCAGCCCTGCAGATCTGTGTCCCTGCTCCACATGAGGAGCCTCAGCTGCAGAAAACTTGTGGCTGTTGCATGGTTTGCTCCCTTCCTCTCTTTCTGGGCTGATCCATGCAGCTGTGTGGTGGCAAGGAGTGTATTCCTCTTGGGTGCTATCCCAAAAAATACACCTCTGTGTAGGTGTCAGGTATGGGCTTGCAGGACTTTGGGGCACCTGAGGTCTTTGCTCCCAAGGGCGCAGGGATTGCACAGTGCCAGGGTTCAGAGTGAGGTGTGCCTTACCTTTCCTTAATTGCTGTCCAGAATGGAGGCAGCCTGGGTTGATGTGGTGATCGTGGGGACAAAGGTCTCAGTTCAGTCTGATCCTGTTTCCCCAGGTGGGGTAACCCAGCAGGGGGTGTGAGAGTTTCCAGAGGAATTGCCAACACCCTCGTGTTGGCACTGTTACTGTGGCACAGATCTGGCCAGAGGTGGCTGGAAACTGGTCTGATGGGGGAAAGGCTTGTCTAGATGTCCTGCATGGAAAATTTTTAGGGTGAAGCAGCCATGCCTACACTGGTGACTTCCATTTTCTCTCTCAAAGAAGCTTCATACACCCACCTGAACTATCAACCCAGGAATTCCCCAGTGAGGAAAGGTGTGTTGGAGTTTCATCACATCAGGCTTTTACATACTGGATTATTGTGGATCTTTGGACAGTGTTGCATGAGTGATTTTCTTGGATGTCAGCATTTCTTCCACAGAGGGTGTGGTACATCTCATGATGCCTTTTTTTCCTGCTACAATAGATTTTGTGTGTGTATGTTTAGGCCTTTAAAAAGGGGAAAATTGTTTTAATCACTGCAGAATAAGCTAGAAAAGAAACTCATGATGACAATATAGAAGGACTTAAAAAAGAGAGACGTGGAATTCAGCTGCTTATTAATAAAAGATTAAACATTATTATTTTAAAAAATAATAAAAGGAATGCTTTGCATCATTATACATTTTAAGTAAGTACAAAGTCAGTTCATATAATAATGTTTCACTTTAACCAAAATATTGATTCCTCAGTTCATTGTATATCTGTGGGAGGAAACAGATCTTATAAATAATTTATGTACTAGATCTTAGTTCCATTTCGAAAAACAGTGAGGTTTTTTTCCCTCATGAGCTAAATGCTTCTCCCTTATCCTCTTGTTCCTCGCGCTGAGGATTCTGCGTGCTGCATCACTGGGTGTTTCTGCTGCCCTCGCTGTCCTGGAGCTCCCCACCTGGAGCAGCTGTTTTGCTGGCCTCGTTGTCCGTGTTGTTGTTGAGGATGTCATCACAATCCATCTGTGCCATCAGGTTGAAGCGCTCAGCCACGCAGTGGGCGGTGAGCCGCGCCTCGGGGTCGTGGTCCCAGCACTCCGTGATGGTGTCGCACAGGAAGCGCATTCCCTGCAGTCAGAGGGGATGAAATTAGGAGCAGAAGGCAGGAAGAAGAGGATCTAACACATTACCAGACTTCTGACAGCCTCCTGCCTCAAGGCTGTTTTTGGCCAAGCTTAAGCACAAGAGGAATCAGCCTCAGTAAGTTGTGGAAGTGCTGATGCTTCCACTGGCACTGCTTGTGTTAGAGCAGCAGCCTCAGCTCTCACAGCATCTGCTCCCAAACATTCCCCATGCTCCCTGGAAACTGGCTTGTCTTGGCTGTGAGACTTAGAGCCTGTTTCCTTCCAGCCTGTATTTATTTCCTGTCTCAGCCCTGCCCATTTGGATCAGAGCACCCTGAATCAGGAGGGACAGGAGAGGTGTGGACAGTGACCTGTAGACTGCTGGCTGAGCCCAGGCCTCTGGGTTTGAGCTGCACCCTGCCTGTTATACCTGGAGCAGGGGAAGGTGGTTTTCAAAGGTAGGTTTGGAAATAATTTCTTAAATCTAATTTCTTGTTTTAGTTGCATTCTGAAAGGGTGTGCTGTGCCAAACACTCTTTTCAGTGTGCAGCTGAACCTTCTTCTCTTATCACAAAGCAGTGTTTTGGTTGAGATAGGCTGAGGTGCTTCCTAGGTTGCTCCAGAGCAGGTGGAGTTCCTCTCAGCTACAGTGCTTACATCTCCCAGAAAGCTGGGGGTTTTTGTCCAGTTGTGTAGGGCTCTGAAAATAGTCACAATATTTTGGGCCTAGGAACCAAATAAATGGTAGTATTCAGCTGGAGCTTCCCCCAGCCTTTAGCTAGTAACACAGCTAGCACGAGAAGCTGTGTTGAACCTTCCCTCGCCCATGTAATTCCATCATGTGCTATTGCTCTTGGCATCATTGTCAACTAAAGTTGGAACACAGTGGAAAAATCATTATTCTAAATAAAGCTTCGTGGTTTTCAGTGGGTTTTATGTACTTTTTAATTTGCAATTAAGAGAACCCTAAAGTTTCATATGGACTCATGTAAGAGGAAAATCCAAGTCCTACAGAGATATAGGGCGAGTTCCATCTGCCCTGATGTACTTGACTCAGAACTCACTGCTCTCTGCTAAGGCTCATTGTGCTAAGTCTTCCATAATAGACACAGATTGGAGAGAACAGGATTGTACAGCAAAACTGACAGATGGTGTGTTTCAGCACCTCTGACGTCACTTATTTATTAGCTTAGTTGAAGGGATTTGAGGGTAATTGATTACATGCAGAAATGAGCTAGCTTAGGTGAAGCTTTTAAAGTCACCATGTTCTCAAACAGGACATCCAAGATTTTCTGTACTTATTTTTTCCTGAAATCATAACATTTGTTTGCAGTTTGCCTTGTAGTGATGATGTTCTTTTGAGCGGTGTAACTGAAACATCTTGTTTGTGGCTTACAAAATGAACTTAGTTTGGCTTTTATATTTGATATCCGTTTTTCTAAGATTCCAAAGGACACTGAGTTGTACAAGTGTATTTTTAGTGGCAATATTGACTTTAGCTTCTCTTGTTCCTTCCTATCCTGCACCAGCCTCTGGTTGTGCCAGTACATCAGTCTGTTCAGCTGCTTTGTGAACCAGATTCAGGAATTTACCTGGCCTAAGAAACCTTTTTTTCCCTTTTTTTAGTATGCTGGGCTGTGAAACAAGGTAGAAGCACACACTTAAGGGGTGTGTAAGTTATCTGGGAAAGTGGGGGTGAATTTCTTCATCTGACTTTGTTGTAGGGCCTTGCAAGCAGTTGCCCTCAAGCTGCTGTTGGGCGAGTTAGCCCTGTCAGGGGAATCAGTGCTGACACTTGCTGAAAATCAAACCACGGTCTTCACTTGACTGAGAACAGTCCTGACAGTTGAAACGTGGAAGTTTTTATGACTTATTGTGATTGGTGGGAGCATTTATCAGTGCCTCCCATTCAGCTGAGTGACTTGCCACCATTTCTGGCTGTCACCCGACACCTCCTCCCACGGGAAGCCAGCCTGGACCCCCGGAGTGGCACAACCCGGTGGCTTTCTGCTGCTTCCCAGCAGATGGTGCTGCCCAATTCCTCATCCTAGGGAGAGCTGTTGCAAACTGCCCAGAAAATGCTGTGAAGCCAGGCTTGTAAGGAGATGTTTATTAGACCAGCAGAGATTAATCAAAGAAAAACTTTCAGCAAAATGAGGTGGCTCTTCTGTTCCTCTTCCCCAGTGGCCATCAGATGGTCCAATAAAAGTTCCCACCTTATAAGCCTTGCTCTGTTTGCCTGCTACACCAACATTATTTCTGGGAGCTGACTGCAGTCAGCCTCCCTTTAGCCCTGGGAACAGCACAGTTATGCTCACACTCCATCAAAGTGTGATTTTTGACAACCCAAGCCTCTGTATATTTTTTCTGTGGTTTCAAAGTTTATCAGAGACCCTGTGAGGTGAATGTCTGAGCTGAAAACTCAAAGGCTTCAAACATGTGGCACTCCTGATTGAAGGTGCTGTATTTGCTTTTGTCAATGAAAAAGGCTGGGTGAGCTCCAGAAATGAACTCACCAACTGATGAACTCCCCAGGGGTCCCACAGAAGCCACAAATTCATTTGATCCTGTTTGCAGTTTTGGTCAGTCAGGTCAGCTGTGAGTCTTTGGACAAACATGGTTTTGAGAGGAGACTTTGTAGGGAACATGTGGCTTCCTAAGGTTGAGAAATTCCCTCTTTCCTTTTGCAGAGCCTGCCTCTGTGTGCCAGCAGGGCAGAGTGGGAGCAGAGGCAGTGTGTCTTATGGGTGGGTATTGCAAAATGATGCACTGAGCACTGCAAGGCTCTGAAAGCCAGCAGGCTCGATGTTCCAGCTTGATTTGCAGGTGAATGGGAGTGTTGATCAGCAGATGGTGTTTTTCCACAAGACATGTGAAATTCAAGAAGTACCAAAGTCAGGCAAGTTGTGGAAGTCACAATCAGCATGCCTGTTACCCCTCATGTCTTTTGTGTGTGGCAGAAAGCACTGGCCTGGGGCAGAGGACCCTGTCAGGGCCAGGAGGGAGCTCTGCTTCTGTAGCTGCCTGATCTGGGTGTGCTTGTGGGTGGTGTTAACAGAGCACATTTTGTCATTGCTGACATGTTCCTGTTCTAGAACACTGGGCTGTGCTCTCTGTGCTGACACATTTGCTTTCAGACCTTCTGAAGGCTGGTGAAAGACTCCCCTTGACAAGCCCTGAGCTTTGTGGAGTCCCTGCTCTCAGCTTCACTCACTTTTCCTGAGTGTTTCACATGAAGGAGATGCTTCCTGGTTTTCTCTTCTTTGTAGTAATGGAAATTTCTCTCATGTTGAAGGTAATTTTGAGCTTGAAAAACCCAGGCAGAAGGCTGGATGTGCCTCCCTTCCCCTCTGTCCCTGCTGTAAATGGCTGTGTGTGAGGGACTGTGTGTTTCCTGAGCCTTCCAGACAAGGTGCCAAGGGGAGAAGTGGGGTGAACTCCTATGATTTACTGTTTCATGGGAAGAGCTGCACTGAAGTGCTCCATTTTGTTGTTATCCTCAGGGTAACTGAAGCCATCACCTGCCATGCACAACTTGCTGATCATGGCTATTGATCAACACATTCTGCTGTGTCTGTGGCTGGTGGCTTTTTGTGCAACAAGGAAATGAGTCCAGTGGGATTGTGGGGGCCCAGCCATCCACAGTGGAGCTGAAAGTAAATCCCAGGAGTTCTGCCCACTTTTCCTTTGACTATAAATTTATTTTTTTCAGGCTAGTTTAATGAGGAAGGACAATGTGTGTTGCTTTGTTCTGACCCAGCTGCTCCCAGCTTACCTGGTGCACCAGCCAGCTGCTTGGGATCTCGGGCCGGCCTCTGCCATGCAGCACAATGTCCCTCATGGTGTCCACACAAGGCTGCTCCTGGACTTTCGACCCAAAGGGCAGCTCATAATTCTTCACCTCTGCAAGGAAGCAACAGCAGCGTTACAGGATGTTTCTAATGCATTCCCTGCTTTGTTTTGGTATGGCCCATTGAATGAGAATGGGTTTCTTTTTAAGTCTGCAAAAAAATAAGCAGATCTGGAAACAATTGAGAATTTGAACACAGAAATGTAATGCTGGGTTTTTACATAGAGGTTCTTTACAGAGACAGCACAGAGGAACCATCTGACCTCCTCCCTGAACCCAAAAGATGCAGTATAAAGGACCTGGTTTGTCTTTGGGTGAGACAATTTGAGCAGGCAGAAAGTACTGTGCTGGTGAGGGATGGGAGAGGTGACAATGACACGAGAATTTTCAGATTTCTTCTACAGGCAAGGGAATGGGTTGGAGGAGAAATGGCCCTTCCAGAAGAGCAACCCCATGTCATGGAAGACCAAGGAGAAACTGGCTGTTGGCAGAGGTGAGAGGCCACTCTGGTTTCTGCCAGCTCCCACCCAGATGTGAATGCAGGTGAGATATGAGTGGGGAGAGATGGCCAGGGAATGCTGGCCTGGGAACAAAGGATGCATGGGGCATCCAAACCAGGCAAGGGCCTCCCACTGCCGACCATGGGGCTTGCAGGGCAGTCAGAGCAGCTTTGTGGCCAAGGGTTGAGGGTTCCTGCAGTTCTCTGGGCTTGTATTGTGAGCAAGTGGGATAGGGAAGGAAGGTAGATGGGAGGTAGAAGGCAGAAGGCAGGCAGGGCTAACTCCAGGGCAGTTATTGAAATGTTTTGGTACATACAATTGTAGATGCCAGGACGTGGCTCTGGGAAGTGACAGGATCTGTCATACTGTCAGAGGCTGGGGTTTGTGAGTCCCCATTGCAACATAGGCTCTGGTGTTGTCTGAAGGAAAAAATTGTTGAGGAGGGGAAGGCACCTTTGGCTCTTCCTGCTTGGTTTGCTTTGCATTACCAGCACAGGCTCCATGGGACTTGGGAGCTCGTCAGCTTTGAGCAGGGGCTGGACCAGATGTCCCTATGGGGTCCTGTCCTGCTCGTTGACCACTGAGCCACCCCCCTTAAGCCATGGCACACAGAGCAGGGGAATCTGTCACCAACCCTTGGCAGCCCTGCAGAGACCTGGACCACCCCAAGGCATGTCTTGTGCCATCAGTTGGGATGTGGAGTAAGGGAGCATAAAGGCACATAGCAACCTGTGTGTGATGCTCCTACCTCCTACCACTTCACATCTGGAGGCCATTTCCCACAAAACGAGGGCCATGGAGTAGACATCCATCTGCTTGAAAGACTCCAGGTCTTCCAGGTTCACTCTGGACTCCAGGACCTCCGGGGCCATGTACCTGGCGGTGCCCACCTGGCCACAGAGAGGAGAGAGGCATTAGCAGGGGCGGGTGAGGATTTTGGCCACGGGACATGGGGGTGGCTGGCAAAGGCTCCTCCAGAGAGGGCTGGTGGGTCATACTCGCCTGCCCGCTGTTGGCAAAGTCATCCACGGTGAGGGAGGGGTCGAGGCGGATGGCGATGCCGAAGTCGCAGAGCACGCACTCCTGCTCGCTCTTCACCAGCACGTTGGTGCTCTTGATGTCGCGGTGCGCAATGGGGATTTTGGGGCGCCCGCAGGCAGTGTAGTCGCTGTGCAGGTGGGCCACCCCGCTCACCAGGGACCCGGCCATCTTCTGCAGCTCCATCCAGCTCAGCACGTGGTGGGACAGGTAGTCCTTGAGGTTGCCGCGGCTGTGGTAGGCGGTGATGAGCCAGTACTCGCGGCGGGGCCCCGTGCCCCGGTCCTCGGCCGTGAGGAACTGCAGGACGCTGTCGTGCCTGAGGCTGGTGTCCGTGAAGATCTGGCTCTCGTTCTTCCAGGACGAGTACTCCTCGCAGGGGAAGATCTTCACGGCCACAGTCTCGTACTGCCCCGAGCGGCTGTGGCTCAGCTTGGCCCTCCACACCTCGGCGAACTGCCCCTTGCCCACCATCTCGTCCAGCTCGATGGGGAGCAGCTCCGTGGGGCGGCCGCCGGGGCTGGTGCTGCCAGGGCTCTCGTCCATCAGCACCGACAGCTTCTCCTCCCGCTCGCCTGCCTTCCCCTGCTCCGGCAGCACCGGCGGCTGGCCCTGCTTCCCGCCCCACGCCTTGGCTCTCTTGCGGCGCTTCTGCGTGCGGCAGAGGTAAAATATCACCGTGATCATCACCGCCACCAGCAGCGGGGGCAGGAGGCTGATGGCAGCCACTGGGATCACCTCTTTGCTCTGCAGCATGGAGTAGCCTGAGGGGAGGAAAGCGAAGGCGAGGTTGCTGCTGCGGGTCTGCCACAGCTCGTTTTCATCGCGCGGAGGAGGGAAATACGCAAAGCTGTTAATGCAGCGCAGCCCTTACGGGGCCGCACAAGGGCTCATCCCGACACAGAACCCAGATGGAGGCACTTAGCAAGGAGGATGATCGGCTGTGGTCTCAAATTTAGCTCCATTTATCTACAGAATACGCGGGCCAGCATCACTTGAATGGGACAGTGTGGCACAAGAGGCTGCAAAGGGCATTTTGGGGATCCCAAGCGCTGCTTGTGCTCGTGGCAAGGGGAGCTTGGCTGGAAATAACAATGATAAATCCAATGCAAGGTTCGAACACAGCAAATCTCTGAGGGGACTTGGGGCTGGAGCTTTGCTGGACCCCTGTGGAACTCAGGGAGTCAGGAATGATGCTGGGGGTGGGCAGTGTGCAGGACCACCAGCACAGGCGAGTGCCGGAATGCTTTGCAGGATAATTAGCAGGATAATTAGCACACAGGAGCATCATTTCAGCACTTTTATCTGCCAGTGCAGGCATCTCCTTCCTCAGCCCGTTAGAGCAGCAACCCCAACTACCGCCAGGGCATGGCTGCATTTGTTTTAGTTCCTTTAAACCCCCTGTTGGCCTTCAGATTGAGAGGGGGAGGACACACACACAAAGCCATAACCCTCACACAACATATAATTGTCTGATCCTTTGATGTTCGTGATTCCTGGAATAAACATGCTGACTTCAGTAGAGATATTCAAGTAAAATCTTACTCAGAGGTTTTTCTGCCAAGTATAATAACCCAGGGGAAGAGGGATAAGAATCATTCCATAAGCAAAACTCTTGCTGCTTGACCTCAGTGTGTGCAGATCATAATTCAGGTTCTGGAAAAACAGAGCATTTAGCTATTTTCCTTGGCAAATTTCAAAAAAATGTGCTGCAGCTAATTTCTGCAAGGCTGTGAAAGCGTTTCTAAAATAGGCATCAGGTTTAAACCACAAGATCAACCCAAACTGATATAAATCAATAACTAACTCAGGAATATGTTTATTTTGGAAAGTATTGGGCTTGGATATCACCTACTGCTTTAATGGATTTACCCGATGCTTTGGATCCCATCTTTGAAACTCTGAAGAAAGAGAAGATATTTTTAAGGGAGTTGCATGCACAAGTCCTGAAAAGGGGAAGTTAACACAACTTCAGGAAATTCCTGCATAAGGATGCCCCTTCCTGATGGAAGTCTTTTGATACACAGGGGCTGCAGCAGGGCTTAGACCCCTTCTGTGGAGAGCAAATGTTGTTGATCTGGCAGTAACCACAGGTCTGTAAACCCACACCTTGTTGAGCATTGCTGTGTGGGTCTGTCCATCCCTGCTGAGGGATATGGACTTCTAGGGCCAGGCTCAGCTGGAGCACAGGTGGAAAGGACTTGCCATGCTCCACCCTACCCAGCATCTTCCTGAGGTCGCACCTGGGCTTCTGTGTGCACAGCTTTAAGAAATGATGGCTCTGTGTGCTCGTGAGCATTGTGTCTGAGCTCTGATGGAGACCCCTGCACCCCTAGTGTGAGGGCAATGCCACCCAGCAACCCAGACCTGAAAGAAAAGCTTAAGGAATCAAGAATCAGGAAAAATATCTGCCTGCTTCAGCTGCTGGAGAAGTGCTCATGTCTCTGCTCAGGAGTTGTCTAGACCATTGAACGTGACAATAATTTAATAATTAGAATGCAAATGATCCCTTAAAGCAGAAGGAAAGCATGTAAAGAAGGGGGTCTGCGAGCCTGGGGTTTGAGGAGGGAATTGTTAAAGAGCTGCACTGGTCTTGCTGTGGCTTCCAGCGCTTCCCATGCCGGCTGCCAGGAGGAGCTGGTTATGGAGCCTTTGCTGGGGGCGGCATTTCCAATGAGCCAGTTGTCATTTTTGTGTGAAATTGCATATCCCAGCATCAGCTTTGGGATTTGACTATCTCTCCCTAGAAGTGTGTGTACCTGTTATGTTTGGCTGGGGAAGCAGCAAAGAGCCGCCAAATTTAGCATCAGTTGCCTCCATTAAAGTGGCCTGTTTGTTCAGAGAATTTGCATTTCATGTGATGTTTTTCTTTTTTCCTTATGTTGCAGGGGAAGCTATGCCACTGGCTTGCAAGTTCTGCTTAAGCTCATTTTCAGCATCTCCTTGTTCTGCGATTATGGAAAATTGGAGGCATTTCACTTTGCTTTTGTTACAGGTCAGATTCTTGATGGACACTTGGATAAACCTGGTCCAGTTGGAGTTGGGGAGGTTTAGACAAGCCCTCAAAGGCTCTGGTTGGAAATATTTCCAAAGTATACGACCCTCCTGAGGTACAGAAATGAGCTGCCTCCTAGTTTTGCCTCCTGTGGATTTACAGCTCCCATTGGATCTCCAGCCATGTGCAGCAGTGTGCCAAGCCATGCTCACGTGTGTGCTCAGCACCCGGCTGGCTCCAGCTGTCCCTTCCTGGGACAACACTGCTGCAGGAACTCCCAGGAGAGCAGCAGGGGAGGCATTCCTGTGTGCCAGCCCTGCACCCCAGCATCTCCACCCACCTCTCTGGGTTACAGCTATGGGGGATGGCAGCAGCTCCTCTGGGTGTGTTCTGGGGTGGGATTTGCTCCAATGTAATTTATTTAAAGCTTTCAGGGCTTTTGACTCTCATTATGTTACACCAGCTCCTGGGTTCCCCAGTTGATTCAGCCTGTGCTGAAGGCACAGCCCACTGAGAGATATGGTGGATTTTGCATCCTGGATGTTTCCAGACCAAGGCTAGAGGTATTGCTGTGAGGAATGCTTTGGCCACAAAAAAAATGCTTGGCTCAGTAATGGGGTAGAGATTTTAACTGGCTTTTATATAGGGAGGTCAAAGGAGATGGCAAAAGAGCCTCTTCTGCTATTGCATCTCTTACTCTGCAGGAAATACAAGGGATTTATTATTGATACTGGGTGCTGCTGCCCCATAAACAACATTAACAAAAGCCCTCACCATTGGTGTGGTTTTCAAAGATGAGTTTGTCGTTGCACTCCTGCTCATCCACGCAGCCACAGATGTAGATGACGCTGTCCTCGCTGGGCTGGAGGCTCATGATGCAGCGCGAGGTGTTGTAGTTGGGCACCATGAGGTTCTCGATGGGGCGCTGGGGGTTGTGGCACAGCGTGCTGATCCTGATGCTCTCGTTGTCCTGTCTCCTGCGTGTGACAAATGAGCCAACACAGCATCAGCCTGGCCCCTGTGACAGCTGTGTGTCACCTTAAACCTGGTCCTAAGATCATTTCTTTCAAGCTGTGTAGGGAATGACTGCTTGCAGTGGCTGTGGTATAATTCTACTTACATGTACTTATAGGACCAGTGATGGGCATGACTGGCCCTGCACAGCATTGCAGCCACTCCTGGGTGCATCCAAAGAAATGACAACCATTCATTACTTTTCCAGGAGCAGCCTCAGCCTCCTGACGTGGTGGTGCAAAGCAGGGGGATGAAGGTATGGGGAGATTTCACAGTGTCTTTGGGGTCAGCTGGGAAGTCAGATATAATAATCAAGGAAAGAACCTAAATTCATCATCCTCTCCCTGGTGAAGTCACCCAGTTTCTGCACCCTCCACGTTTTTTTGTGGCTACCAAGTAATTTGACAGAGGAGCTCCCAGATGAAGAGTTCTAGGAGGGTGAGATCCCTTCTGCTAAGGCTGCAGGAGATGACCATGAGGCCAAAGCTGCTGCTGTGACTGAGATACCCACTCAGGACAAGTTTGGATGGTCCACATATGCCCCTGCAATGAGCAGCAAGCAGCAATGCTGGCCTGGAGGTGAGCCCTGCCTGCAGGATGTTATTCCCTGGCTGAATCTTAGAGTGGGATGGGAGGTGCTGGGAGGGCTTGGCAGGGTATTTGTGGCTGTGTAGCTGCCTCACCCCATCCAATGCACATTGCAGGATGCAGCTCCACCCTGTGCAGGGATATTTCTTCCTTGCCATGGGGATTCCTGCTGCAGGGCCCTTGCTTTTTCCTGTACATGTAAGCTGTAAATGGGAAAAACCCAGCAAGACACTGGATTGCCTAGGCAGGATTTAAGGTGGCTTTTCCATGTGTGCGTAGGGGAATTTGGGGCAGGGGGTGGATTTTGTTATTTGTTTGTTTGGGTTTCTTGTTGTGTTTTGCTTTTTAAAAGTCCATAATGCAACAATTAGGTTGAGGCAAACTCCCACTGAAAGTTGGCATGCAGCATTCACTCTAATTAGCAGGTTGAGATAAAGCCTAGCGATAAGTGCTTGGCTGGCTTTCACTTTGGCAGCCAAATTAAAAGGGAAAGTGGAGGAAAATCACTCTGGGCAGACCCAAAATGGATCCTTTTTTAGTTTTGCTCACGGTTACCAAAAAGCTGGGGGAGGCATCTTCCGGGCCAAACCATGCAGTGTGTGCTCGGCCTGAAATGCAGGATTGTGCTTCCTGTCCAAACACCTCTCTCAGGAGCAGAAAAGGACTTTTTCCAGGGGATGGGAAGGAGGTGGGTTAAACCCAGTGGGTTAACCCCAGTGTGGTGCCTGCTCAGTTGTCCATGTGCTGGATGGGGACTGACCTTGGCCGCACCCCAGCATGTGAACTGAGGTTTCACCCTGATGCAAGAGGACATCTTAGATTTGGAGGTCAGGGTTGCTGGTTTGCCCTTGAGTTCAGCTTGTAAAGCTAAATTCAGAGGTTTATGGGAGTTTATAGGTCCTGCAGCAAGCTTGCCATGCTTTGTGTCAGGCACTCAAAAGCTGAATTTATTTAGAAAATAAACTGGTACTAATTACAGGGCAGACCAAATGATTTTTTTTTTACTGTGCATTGTAATTTCCACTATAATGGAGTCAAGGAGAAAGGAAGCCCTGAATTACTGCAGCAGGCACTAGCAGAAGCACAGGGGGGCACACACCCTTCCCTGCCCTGTCTCCCTTACCATACGGCCACGCAGATCTCGTGGGGGTGCTCGCAGTAGGAGTTGAGGTTGCAGTTGCTGTAGCACACCTTGTCCTGGCACGCCGGGGCCGTGGAGTCGCACCACTTGCACAGGTTGGTCTTGAGGCTGCGGCGGGCGCCGGCCCCGCAGGCTGCGGGCGCAGAGGGGCTGCGGTGAGCGGGACGGACAGACAGACAGACACAGGGCCCGGCCATGCACACGGACAGGGACAAGGAGCCCCCGCTGACCCCGCTTCTATATGCCTTTTTTTAAAAGCCTTTGTCTGGCCCTGCATTGCCCGGTCAGTTTTGCTCTGTGTTATCCCAAAGCCTGGAGGAGGTGGGGGAATGCTTTCCCAGAAGCCTGGGGAACCGCAGGGAATCACGTTTTCCCTCTGCTTTCCCCGTACCATTCATCACCATGAGGAAATTTACTTCTTCCTCTACAACCCAGGCTCAAACTGGCACTTCCCCTCATCCCGAGTACGTTCCAAAAGGGACATCTCGGGTCGCTGTGTGCCTCAAGGCTTCATTTACTCCCTCTCAGCAGGAGAGAGGCGCTGGGGAGGGATGTAGGCCAGGCTGGGACAGCTCCTGCCTCTCCTGCTGCCTCCTCATCCTCCCCTTCCTATTCACTGAGGCCAAGCTGGGAAATGCGTTTGCTACCCACTGCCCAAGTGTCTGCTGAGAATTCCCGAGCTCTGGGGCAGCAGGGGCTGCTCCCTCCAGGGCTCCATGCCCACTGTGCCCATCCCAGCAGGAGATGTTCTCCCATCCCCTGAGCCTCAGATCTGCCCCAGCAGCAGGAATGCCTGCAGCCTGTGGGGAGCTGCTCTGCCTCTATCTCACAGGCATAACATTATCTCTATTTTTATAGAAAGGGTGCATGAACTATGCTTGGTTAAGGGATAAGTCCCAGCTAAATTTAAACTTCCTGTCTTCAGGCTGCTAAATGTCTTTTTAAAAAATGCCACTGAGTGGCTTGTGTAGAAATATTTATTTATACATTTTTTTAAACTTAAATATATGCACTCCAAAGTGTTCAGGTATGAACCTGAACTACAGCAGCTAATTTTTTGAAGCTTTGGGCCATCCGTGATTCTCTGGCTGCCATGTCCCTGACCCACCCAGCAGTGCTGGGTGCTCCCAGCCCCTATGGAAAGGGAAGTCATAGCTCACTGTGCTGCCACAACCCTCACAGAGTTTTCCATAATCAGCTGTAATTCTGAAGGAAAAAAAAATTTGCAAAATTCCTGACCATGGCTTGGGGAGCCTCAGGCCCCACTAGCACAGCCATGGGTACCCCCAGGTCTGGCAGTGACATGCAGGCACTCTTGCATTCTTTGTGGTCACCTCTGTGACCTGTCTGTGTGCACAGCTGAGCCCATGGACCCTTTTTAGTGCATGTACTGTCCCAGCAGCAAAAAGGGGTTTTTAACTTCCCTGCTCCCCAAATCCAGGGCATGCAGCCTGCTCTGACAGCATCCCACGTGCCTGCTCTGCTTCCCTCACCAGCCCAGACCCCCTCCCTGCAGCAGTCATAAAGAACTGCTGGAAGGCTCCCACACAGAAATAAACCATTTACAAGCTCCCATGGCCTTGTATTTAGGGCCAAGGTTAATGGTGAGGGGAAAATCTGGGTGCAGAGGAAAAGACTGTTGGATCTGAAGGGTGGAAGGAGGAAATTTTGGCTTAAATGGCCCAAGCCAGGCTTAAAATGCAGCTCAGCAGGAATTGTGTTGTGCCAGGTTTTGGGGGAGCAGGGTAGGTGAAGATGCTGCCCACAGCCTCTTGCTCAGCATCCCCCCATCCATGAGGCTGCTCTGGCCCTGCTGGGGCACCCTGGGATTTTGTGGGAGACCTCAAGAGATCATTCGAGGGTGAGCTTCCAAAACCACGGCTTCAGCTGGGATTTGGAGCACCTGCAGCCAGCACGAGCGACCCTCACCTCCCTGCCCTGCTCTGCCAGAGCAGGGCTTGTACATCTGAGCCAAAACTCCACTGGAGATGAGAATTTTGGATGTGGAACAGAAATCAAGCCCAGCATTTGTGTGCAGCCTTCAACCTACAGCAACAGCCACTGCACCCTACATACTGCCTTTGGGTAATTTCATGGGAACAGAGAATTGAAGGCAAGCTGGTTTCTCACCCCACACCCAGGCCTGAGCTCTGGTGGTGTCACTGCCTCAGCTCCTCTGCCACCCTTCAGCTCAGCCCACCCATGGCTCATGCTGGGCTCTCAGCAGCTGCTGTGGGACTGCTCAGCACCAGCACCCAGGGACACCTGCAGCCTCTGCAGAGAGTAACAACATCACAAATCCAGGTCGTGGATGCTGCTGGTGCAGGATGAGGTTGGTTATTTATGCATTTATACCCACCAGGTATGTTATTTACTTATTTATATGGAGGGTTTGCTTGGGGTCTCAGGGCAGAATGGTGCACTGGTGTGTGTGCTGGGGATCTTGGCTGTGCCGTGCAGAGGGGAAGCCAGGGCAGATGAAGGAGTTAAATATGGAAACAAGAGCCAGAAATACAGCAGTAACTGGACAAAACCCTTTGGAGACAAATTGTTCTAAACTAACTCAGGCTGTGATTCTGTTATCTGCTCTGCAAGAAAGAGCAGGGATATCTCTTTTTTCTCCCCCCCTCCCTCTTGTCCTAGGAAACTAAAAAGAGCCCAAAGCCCACTGCAAGGCTCTTCAGGACTGTGTGTCCTTGAACCATTAGCTGGTAGGTACAATTTAACTGCCACATCACTCATCTTGGCCCTGATTAGACCCAGATAAACACTTTCAATATTAATAGTCAGATGATTTAATAAAGCTGCACAAGCAGTAAAAGTAACAATACACTTCCATAAACGGGTTCCAGATGTTGCCAAGGCAAATGCTAAACATCAAAATACAAACTTCAAAAAAAAAAAAAAAGTTGGGGGAAAAAAAAAAGCTGGATAAGCAAAACTTGGAACAAACTATAAACTAATTAAATGTGGGTTGAGTTTTCCAAAAATAAATTGAAGCCATAAGGATGTGATGTGAGCCAATAAATAGTACAGTTAGTCAAAGTTATTGTGGAAGGACAGTTGGAGAGATGGTTTGGAGTCACTGAAAGGTGGGCTCACAGCAAGCTTGGCTCCCCATCAATAGGGAGCCTTGTTCTCCTGTGCACGAGAGCAGGATCAAATCTGCTGGTATCTATAACTGGGACCCCAGAGAGATTACTGAGAGAATATGAGATGATTTTCTAGTCAGGGAATAATGGAAAAACAATGCCAGAAGTGCCTGTGTCTCTCCTGCAATAGCAGCAGGGGTGACACCACCACCCAAGGACACCGGGATATTTCTCCTGCATTTTGGGGCAGCCTTCCAGGCTCTCATTGCCCACAGGGCATCCACAGCCTCTGCTTGGTCACCTGCAAAGCCCATGGAAACACAAGTGGTGTAGTCAATAACCCATCCTCTTTCCCATATCCCCATAGAGGAGTCATTGAAAACAGCTCTCTGAGAGAATTCCACCCCAGTCCCACCGCTGCTGTCACAGAAGCAGCCACCCACAGCAGCTGAGATTTCTGCCAGCAGGGACTGCACCTGTAAGAACATGGAGAGGGCTTAGTGAGCCCCTCTCCACCACTGCAGCCCCAGAGAGAGGTGGGTCGCCCAGCAGCTCACTCTGGCTCCAGGTTTCCCCACACTGTGCTCCCCAAGGAGGAGGAACCCCTAGGGAGCAAGCTGGGGGTGCCTGGGAGTGCAGACACAGCACATTGGTTACAGGCAAGGAGAAAGCTCCTTGTGGCCCAGCAAGGGCAGGAAATGCATTTTCACTGAGGGGCAGAATAAACACTTTCAGTTCTCAGGTATTCTCCCTGACATGGTGCTTTGGGACAGCTGAACACCAAGATGGGGTTAAGGGAATGTGTTTGGAGTGAGGTGCTAGGGCACTTATCCCTGCTCCCAGCTCTTCCCAAGGTGGAAGGAGACCAAAGCTTTTGTTACACAGGGTCTCCCCTATAGGACCTTCAGATCATGCTCTGTCTTGCAGTGATAACTATCCTTAGATTGACTGTATTTCTCAAGGACAAAGAAAATTTGTTAATTCTTAGGTTGTAAATGTTGTACAGTGAGGTCTATCCCCCTTTTCTGCATATCTCTGAGCACCCCAGGATGGGGCTGACACTGTTTCAGCAGTCACAGAGGGCTGCCCAGCTTGCTGTTGCTGTAGTGGCTCTGGGGGCCCTGCATCATCTGTTCCATGCAAACCAGTCAACCTGTAATCCCCAGGCTTTGCCCTGGGAGAGACCAAGGCTGGGGAGATTAGCTGAGATGCTCTTTGCTTTCTCTAATGAGCACTCAAGCACAGGACTGGAGAGCAGCTCTAACCCAGCCCTGTTCTCCCTGGAAGCCCCTAGAGAGGTGCCCTGGTGGAAACAGCACCTGCACTGGGACCTGCTTCCCCACCTGGGTGAGCCTGGGCTCCGCGGTGAGTCCTGCGTCTCTGCCAAGCTCAGGATTAGGTTTTGCTTTGGGCTTTTATCCGTGGTTAATGACACAAGTATGCAATAACAGAGCCTCATAAAATTATTATGAGAACAAACAAAATCCTTCCCTTTTATATGCAGTACTTTGTTTTTAAGATTAATCCAGCAGCAGAGTTGATGGGCTCCGCTCTCTCGCTGACCCATGTGAGAGCACCAGGTGTTCCCCATCACCAGGTTACTCCTGAGCTGCCTCCTCCATGATGCAGCAGCCAGTGCCACAGATGGGCACCAGGACAATTCCTGTGCCCTGATTTCCAGGAGATTCTGTGCAGGGTCAGGAGTTCCCATGGAAGTTGTTCAGCATGATCTGTGTAACAGTGATCCCAGATTTCTTGCAGATTTCTTGCAGTCTTGCCTGATCTTGATGCAGCATCCTGCTGTGCTGAGAATCTCCCCAGAACCAGACCTCAAAGTGTTGTACTTCTATTTTGGATGCAGCTCAGTTTCCTCCTGTTCTCCGTGGTGGGGTCTGGTGCTGCTTTCAGCTGCTGAACCAAAGAGGTTTTGAGTGTCAGGCTACTCTTCTCCATCCATCTGTTTTACACTGTATCTTTATCTTTGTAGGAGAGGTAGAGCAGGCCAAATGGAGTTGGAAAATCTTAATATCCCAGTTTTTGC